GTCTGGCCTTGCACCTCCTAGAATCATCCTCTTCAAAAGATTCGAATCATAAATTTTGGCCTTCACATAAGCCTTAATTAAAGTGTTGTATACAAAAGTATGTCTTGCATACTTGGCTTTCGTAAGTTCTTCAAACAACTTCTCAACGTTCCCTACATCACCATTCTCAGCGAAAGCCTCAATTATTGAAAGAGTGGTCTCCAACCATGGGGTAGAATTCCTGACACCATTGCTCATTGTCGAACTCATCCCCAACTCTAGAGTCTTAATGGCTTCCTCTACCAATCCTGCTTTTAAGCAACCCAAAGCAAGATGGCGAAAGGTTATGGCATTTGGTTTGCACCCATCCGCCTTTATTTCCCTGAAAAGCTTAGATGCTTTATCGATAAGCCCATGCTTGCAATACACAGATATCATAGAATTGAACTGCTCAGTAGTTTTCAACCCTTTTGCTGCCTTCATCTCTAACCAAAGTTCTTCAGCTCGGCTCAGTTGGCTGATTCTACCAAATGCTTCAATTGCCACCACATAACTTTTTGACCGAACATGGGGGAGTTCCTTCACTAAACCCCAAGTTCTCTCTAACTCCTTCTCCTTCCCTAAATAACCATACAACATAATTAGAACATCAAGTGTTGACCAGTTACTACCTGTAACTGACTTCTCTAAGGCTTCAACATACGCTTCAGCTGCGGTATACAACCTTGCCACTGCATGGGCAGTAGCTACGATGCAGTGAGATATTTCATTCGGCTCAACTTTTGCTCGCTTCATATCGGAGTATACCTTCATCAATCCTTCGATATTGTGTTCGTTGGTTTCTATTTTCATGAGAATGTTGAATGTGGAGGCATGTAGAACCACCTTATCAGCCCTCATTTGTGCAAGGATTTTCACAATCAACTTTTTACGCCTTGAAGAGGAATGGAGAATAATGAGTCGATTAAATACCAAGTATGAAATGGGATGACCCAATTCCCTCATTTTCTTCATACACTCGAGTGGAAGCCTTATTGCACCCTTATCCAAGCAAGCAATCACAAGATTGTTGTAAAGCAGCTCATTTTGAAACTCAAGAGGAACGCGTGTAAAGAGTTCTTTACCTTGAGATATCCCATGAAACTTGGTTGTAAATTCCAACAGATAAGAGTAGTCTAGTTCCTTTGGCCTGTAGGGCCTTTCTCTGATCACCCATTCCATTACCTGTCAAAAGCAATAGCTTTAGCTTTAAAATCCATCAACCCTCCACCAAATTGGTTCAAATTTCAAAAGGGTAGTAAGATTGGTGGTCCTGCTGCAGTATGGCTAGTGGGAATTGAGCTGCTAGTCATCAGAATGTACTTTTGCAGGATCAATATTACCACTAATTTAAAGTTTATCACACATGGAATGGAATCTTAAAAAGCAATACCTCCTTATTTATCCCAGAAAAGAAAAAAAAGCCAGACCTCCCTTTACCTGAGGCTAATTGCTTTGGCTGTCTACAAGAGCTTGTATAATATTCCCATTGTAATTTGAGAACCCAGAAACAACATAAAACGCAATGCTTAATGTTCTACCCAAAAAAAATTCACATTTTTCTTTTCCTCAATTTTCTCAGCAACTAAAAGGCAGGCAACTAAACAAAGACAACGAGTTAAATCTACCTATGATCAAAATGAAAGCAGAGAGAGAGAGAGAGAGAGAGAGAGAGAGAGACCTCAAGAGCGCGTTTATTCAACTTGAGCTTCCTAAGACGGTTAATGGCGTGAAAGATGTCACCTCTATGAATGGGAAAGCCATCACCCATCCAGCCCTGGAAAGCAGACCCAACTGGTTCTCCATTAGGCAGCTTCTCAATCCTATAAGATAAGCAGGACCTGGATTCTTCTCGTTTTGACTCGGAGACCTTCTCGGTAAAATCATTTGGTGTTTGGGTGCAAAGAAAAAATTTGAAGCTAGACGAAATTTTATTGGCAGAAAAATATGGGACATAAACTGTTCGAGGTTTTGCCTGAACGAACCTGCGCTGTATCACAAGGTACAGCGTTTGCATGCTTTACTCGGAAGCAGCAAACACTGAAAGCAATTTGCATCAGGTGGCTGCTAAGTGCTAAAATTCCCAACCCATTTACTTAAGCCCAAAATCTGAAATTCAAGCGAAGGCCCTACCTAGAAGCCCAAATTGACTAACCCAAGTTTATAAATCTCTGATCTGTACAGCAACAGGGAACTTTTAATTTTCTAATTGCACCCTAAAATCAGATAAGGAGCTACATTGATAAGATTTTAGATTTTTCGTTTTGGGTGCTGGTTATACTACAGAAAAATTTGTGTGAAACAGGAATAACATTGTTTTGCAATCACAGACTATTATCACGCGTGACATATTGTAATTGTCTATTTCACACAACTGTTTCTTGGTATGCTAATCAAATTATTAAAATGGTTGCTTCTTCTTGATTCTAAAAATTTTATAAGCAAACCAAAGAGAAGTATGAGCTTATTATAATGGACAAATATTTTATACACCTGTAATTAACCAGTAGTTCACTTCAAATACACAAATAAATGGCTCTTTAACTAACCTATTATATGACAAATATCTTTTGTGTGGTTGAAGACTTTGAATCCAATTCCAGTCGCATCAGAAGAAATTTTAAAAAAAAAGATATGGATCATGACCAATACTTATGCTGGTGTCATGCAGACAGCTGTATAGTTTGTGTCTTATAAATTAATGGCTCTAACCAAAAGTCAATAAGAGCTCTCAGTTCATCTTCAGCACAATTTGATCTCTCATTTCCAACCCCAAGCATGCAATATGATAAATATGCCTCAAAATCAAATCCAGAAGAAAGCAGACCAAGAAACACATATATAATTAAGAAAGATGTAACATACAGATGTAGCCACAACCCACAAAGCAAATCACAAACCCTAGCTAGCTAGCTAGGAGATCATGGATTTGCAGATCAAATGGCAATCTTATTTTACAAAAAGCACTAAAACCCAACTTGGAAATTCAACTTTAACACTCCTTTTCTTATTTATAGAGATCATGGCAGCTTTTTTTCTTGGCCTTGTCTTAGCTTTGATCATTTGTGGCAGCCACATGAGCTGCAGCTGCAGTTTGATCCACACTTGCAGCCATTCTCTGCTCCATAGCTCATCTCAGAACCCTCATAGTACCTGCAATCATATCATGAAATTAAAACAGAGTTCATGTGCATGGAAAATTTGATGAGAGTTCTTTTTTTTTTTAAGAACTTACATCTTCGCAGGTGCAACCCCAGCAATGATGGTCTCAGTAGAAGTGGTCTCTGAGTAACTCAAGTCAGGGTAGGCACAACTACACACATATATACATACGAGAAAAGAATATTAGGCAAAACGAAAGAACAAATTAAATAATTCCTAAATGTTCTAGAGAATGATAACATGCATGGTTAGAGGAATAGAAGAGTTACTTGCAGCCACTGCCGCAACTGCAGCTTGAGCCACAGCTGCAATTACCGTTGCCGCAAGACATTTTTGTTAAAAGATTTGGTGAATGAAAAGGAGAAGGTGGTTTGTTAAAATGCCTGGGAATTGAATTCACTCAAAGTCTGGGATGAGTTTTCTTGTGAGGGCCTTGGCAGCTTTATAGGGAGTTGAAGGTTGAACTGGGGGAGATCCACCGTACACGTGGAGAAATCCTGGACGGCTATATATCTAGTAGAATTAATTAAGTTGTCTGCCCAACAGGGAAAAAAAAGAACCCACCACTCCAATTGAATTGATTGATATCCATCCACCTAGTTTTTTGTGCTATTATTATATACTTTACATTTCGTGACGAAAGAATATAAGGGGAGGGGAGACGATCTATCAGGGGTAACGGTTCCTGTGATCGCTTTGCCCAAGTAAAGATGAAAAAACTTGGCTCCTTAAAATTGAGAAGTTATCTCTTAAAATCAATGTAGTTTGGACGCCTGTTAAATTCCTTCACCCCCTTTTTTTTTTATAAGAAGTTTGTCAATTTTGCTAGAATTTGACAACTGTCAAACCCACATAATTTTAGGGGCTTTACTATAAAAATATGAGGGTACGAAATGCCTCCAGATAAGAACAAGTCATACCAGTTATTATGACTATGCCATTCTTCGACAATGACATTAACCACTGGTGCATCTTTTTTATTAAAATGATTGGTCTTTAATGTAATTTTTTATTTACTTGGGTGCACTTAACATAAATATAAATAAAAAAAATTACTAGAAAAAACATAAAATAAAATGAAGCAACGAGACAGTTAACAATTAAAGTTTCTAGGACTTTAAAATCATTTTCTCCGAAACCTTATGAGCACTTGTGTTCTTTTTCTAAATAATATAGTTTCTTTCATAGCTTTATTTACTTGCGTTTGTAATATAATTCTTAAATACTAAACTTTCAACTCTAGAGATATCCTTTTCAAAACTTAAATACAGTACTGCCAATGATGGGATCTTATTTCGTGCCATTCATGTTCGCCACTCAAATTTGTGATCTTATATGCGGAGGAGTTGGTTCTTTTTAATAGTCAAATGGGTTTTTCATTTTTCCTATCCCACTTTATGCTTTAAGTTGATAACAGTCCCATCTTTCCATCAAAGAGTTACCAAAGTGGTTGCTTTTTATTATACATGTAAGACTTATTTAGAAGAACTTATTTAGATGAAGCTAGTAAGTGCAAATTAAATGCCTTAAGTCAACAACTAATCAATGTTATGACAGAGTGTTCATTTTTTTCTGTGGTTAAATTTCTAAGAGAAATACAGTATCAGTCTACTTTTCTAGCTTTTGCTTGATCATATGACGGGTATCTTTTGGGTTTTTCAATTGCATATGTATGAGTGGTTGAATACTTGAAATCCGATTCCAGTCACATCCAGAAAAAATATAAATATATGGATCATCATGACCAGTACTTGTGCTGGTGTCATGCATACTTCCATATAGTGAAAACGCCAAACAAACATGCATCAAAGTCAAATCCAGAAGAACCCAGAACAACAAACACATATACTTAAGAAAGATGTAACATACAAAGGTAGCCACAAAGCAAATCACAAACCCTAGCTAGCTAGCTAGGAGAGATCATGGATTTGCAGATCAATATGGCAATCTTATTATTTTACAATAAGCACTAAAACCCAACTTGCAAATTCAACTTTTACAGTCTTTTCTTATTTATAGAAACCACCATCACAGCAAATTCTTGACCTCGTCTTGCTTTGATCATTTGTTGCAACTGCAAGAGCTGCAGCTGCAGCTTGAGCCACACTTGCAGTCATTCTCTGCTCCATAGCTCATCTCAGAACCCTCATAGTACCTGCAATTATAATACAAATCAATTTAATTTATTTAAATTAACCTATTTTTAGCAGATATGTCTTGAAATTAAGGACTCGTTTGGGAGTGATTCTAGAGAGGCCAATAATTACTTGCATGGAAAATTTGATGAGAGTTTATTCCTAGAATTACTTACATCTTCACTGGTGCAACCCCAGCAATGATGGTCTGAGTAGAAGTGGTCTCTGAGTATTCAAGGTCAGGGTATCTTTTTCCACATCTACACATATATCATAAGACAAAAGAATATTAGGCAAAAAATATATATAATTAATTCCTAATTAAGAATATTAGGAATTATATTATAGAGAATGATCACATATATGGTTAGGGGAACAGAACAGTTACTTGCAGTCACTGCCGCAGGAGCAGTTTGAGCCGCAGCTGCAAGACATTTTTGTTCAAAAATAGGTGAAGGAGAAGGAGATGATTGTTATACTGCTAGGTAATTGAATTCACTCAAAGTCTGGGATGAGTTTTCTTGTGAGTTCCTTAGCTGTCATTTTATAGAGCAGTTGAAGGTTGAAGTGGTAGACATCCACCGTACACTTGGAGCAATCCTGGACGTCTAGATATCTAGGTAGAATGAATCAAGTTTTAAAGAGATTACTTGCACCGGCCAACGAGGCAGCAACGCAATACTCCAATGGAGATCCATCCACCACCTTGTCTTTTCTGTGTTGATTTTGGGCTATATAGCTCATGGAACTTGTTTTTTTTTTTACTAAATTAATACCCTAGCCTAGGCAATTCTTATCAACCCACCCCACTAGACTGACGTTTCCTCTCTCTCTATCTCATCATTAAAATAAAAATGAAGAGGCCTCACCATCTCCGCTCTGTGCTGGAATTATCAACACAATGGAAATCCAAGTCAAGCCTACCTTTTAGACTATGTAGCAAATTGGCAAATCACTATGAACTGAAGTAGCTAATCTAATCCGGTTTACCACCTACAGTTCTTTACTCTTTTCAGAATGTATTTACGTGAGAACATCATATTTCCTGAAACCTTCTTGACAAGGGTGATGTTTATGCAAATCAGTTGTGTTATATATGTAAAAGTCAGAAACTGGAATTTTTGGATTCTCTCTCTCTCTCTCTCTCTCATGATGGCAAAATAGGAATTGAAATTGACTTTGATGTTCTTGCTTGTATGAATTATTAATTAGGGATTTTGATAAATTGATTAGTTGTTGACACGTTAAATAAAGATGCGATAAAGGCCTAGTTTCTTATTTACAATTGAGGACATTTTCTGGATTTTAATTAAATACTTAATTTTTTAACTATTTAAGTATGTTTTAATCTACATGTACTAGCATTTTGAGGGGTAAGGCTCATTATGTCCACAGTATATTTTTTTGTCATTAATAAAATTCACTAGTACTGTCAAGTTTTCAATAGGTTCGAACTTGAGACCTCTGATATGTAAGTCAATGCTCTTTTTTACTAGGCTAGACCAAATACTCTAAAACTTTAATAGAGCATCAATGTTGAAAATGGAAGTTTGGGATCTTATTTCTTATCATTCATGTGCACCACCCAAATGAATTCCCCCAACTACTTATTTATTTGTGGAAGGGTCAGATAATGGCCTATTTTTATGAAACACAACTACCCATTATCTTTTTAATTCTAAAATAAATTTTAATTTTTTTTTAAAAAGCCTCTCGCAGGTGCGGTAGCGCGTGCGGAGAGGCTAGTGAATTATTAATTAGGGATTTTGATAAATTGATTAGTTGTTGACACGTTAACTAAAGATGCGATAAAGGCCTAGTTTCTTATTTACAATTGAGGACATTTTCTAGATTTTAATTAAATACTTAAATATTTAACTATTTAAGTATGTTTTAATCTACATGTACTAGCATTTTGAGGGGTAAGGCTCATTATGTCCCCAGTATATTTTTTTGTCATTAATAAAATTCACTAGTACTGTCAAGTTTTCAATAGGTTCGAACCTGAGACCTCTGATATGTAAGTCAATGCTCTTTTTAACTGGACTAGACCAAATACTCTAAAACTTTAATAGAGCATCAATGTTGAAAATGGAAGTTTGGGATCTTATTTCTTATCATTCATGTGCACCACCCAAATGAATTCCCCCAACTACTTATTTATTTGTGGAAGGGTTCTTCCTTTTCATGGTGAAATGGGTTTTTCATTTTCTTTTCCACTTACCCTTTCCATCAAAAAGGTTCCTTTGCATAAAATTTTGATGAAAGAGTCACATGCGCATCCACCAAGTGGCTGCTTTTTATTATACATGTAGAAACCAATGTTATGAACCAGAGAGCTATGATTATGGTTTTGAAAAAACTTGATTAGATGAAGCTAGTCATGGTTAATTGCTAGATTCGATGGCTTGTCTTTTTATTATTATATACATGAAGCTCTCTGCCTCAAGGCAACTAACCTAGGCCTTGTTGCAGTAAACAAGATAAAGATTCACTAAAATATGGGCAAAGCTTCGGACTAATAACTCCATAGAAGTATCAGTCCTGGGATGGACAGATCGACCAAACATACATGAACTGACAAAATGGTCATTTTCTGTGGTAAATTTCTGAGAATATTATGGTATGGTATCAAGTTATCAATCAACTTTGGGCTTATCGAACACCCCATATCACTCTTATTGAATATAATATAAAAAATAATAATAATTGCACTTGTTTTGGATAAATTAAACAATTGTCAGTTTTATTTAAATCAATTTTAATTGACCTAAGTTTTGTTTTGGCCGGCAATTAATGTTCTTGGTAAATGACAGGCGTGAAGTCTGCTGCTTGCTTAGCAGACTTATTAAACGTACACATCAAAGAGATGAAAGAAAATTTGAGATGTTCTTGTCTGGGGTCCCAGAACAATTAGTCTAAAATATTTTCTTATAGACATAAACTTTGGTGGCCCCTTTGGAATCCAACCCACTATGATCTCTTAATGTCTAGGAAGGTTGATGCTAAAAGACAGTCTAAAAAGGGGTTTTGGAATGCGATAAAGTTTTTCAAAAACATCACCAATCGAAGTGATAACATTTTTAAGGAATGTTATGATAACTCATTTGTGTGCACATTACCGGTGATTTCTAACTGGAAATGCATGTAGTTTCTATAATGGAGTCCATATATCCATTGACGTAGACCGACATTTTTTTGGTTAACTTACCTTATACAATTATTGACACAAACTTGTTAATTTCTTTTGGTATGAAAGAGGCCTAAAGATTCAGGAGAAAGAAAGGGTGGAGGACATGATTTCGACTCTAGATATGAAGATCAGTGCTCTCTCTGCACTTTGTGCTATGCCATATCTCTATCCATCCTCACTTTTCTTGTTTGATTTATGTCGTTGTAGTTTAGTTCTCCTCACATGTGTTTTGGAATAGAGACACAGAAAAGAGATGAAAGGAGCCTCTCTCATTATTATTGACCAACCATTTCATATGGTGGGCCTTCAAGGCCTTCTATCCCCTGATTGTGGAGCATTCTTAAATCGTGAATCCAAAAGTGAGATTTATTATTGACCAACCATTTCATATGGTGGGCCTTCAAGGCCTTCTATCCCCTGATTGTGGAGCATTCTTAATTCGTGAATCCAAAAGTGAGATGATATTCTTCAAATCTCTTCATCACTTGTGGCCTACTTTTCTTTTTCTTTTCCCCCCACGTTCTTCTCCAGTTCCCTTCCCTTCCCTTCTTTTTTTATTTTTTATTTTTTATTTTATTTTTTATAAATTTAATAATTAATTTTAAAACAAAAACAAGAAATAAATTCCTCCAAAGTTATTCTAACTTGCTGATATCCTGTGGAGTACTAAAATATTAAACTTGTTGGCAAAGTTATTATCTTCTGAAATCCAAACGCAATTGTTTTATGTCGCTTGTCATCTTCCTTGCATTATTATACCTGACATTGACATGTATAAAATAGATTACATCAATGATCCAATGTCCATATACTGTATTTCAATACTGTGTGTGCTTAGCGTCAAAACTTAGAATTAAAAGTTTATGGTTAATCGTTTTATTAGTCCTTGAACTTAGACCCGATTTGTATTTGAGTCCCACATTTTCCAAAATCGTTCCCTTGGTCCTTTAACTTCACTTTCGTTAAAACAAACGGTCTTGACGTCAATTTTGTTAACTTTTTCTCTTAAATGCAGGGGCAAAATGATATTTTTATATTAAAACAAAAAAAATGAATAAAAAATCATATCTTTAAAATAACAATAAAAGAAAATCAAATAAAAAACCAACCAAAAAAAGAAAAGAAAAATCAAGTTTGGGGGAGCAGGACCAAGGATCTTGCAAATCAAATCACATTAGTGAGCTTGATCTTCATTTCAATCTGGTGATTCAAACATATTTGCTAACATGATGAGTCTGTCTGACCACTAAAAGAAAATCATTTGTTCATATTTTGAAATTTCATTTTTGGGTTACAATACATACATGGGTATACTGAAACTGAAAAGAAATGATTGCCTTACAGAAGTATAATTCTCAACTGAGAGTGTGATGTTCATGTGCAAAATTTAGTATGGATACTGCAAAACAATGTAAATCTACAACTCACGTTGGCTTTGAAATACCTACAATCTGAATTGAAACTCTACAACTCAAACAAATGATCATTGTGCTAAGCCGGCAAAACGATATTCTTTTCTGCAGAGATATCACTAACCTTTAGTCAACCAACCATAATTTTATCTAAATGGAGTCTGTCTGAAATTTCACCATTCACAAGCATCCTAAGACCAGTTTTTAGCTCTGGCACTCCTTCCTCCAAAACAGCACAGACAGGGAATATAGAAACATCTTGCACCCTTCTTTTCAATTCTTCATACACTTCTTCAGCACCGTCTTCATCTATTTTATTTGCTACTATCAAGGATGGCCGATTTGATAAACCCTCTAGATGGTACTCAAGCTCTAAAACTAAATCCCTAAGCTGTTCCCAAGGCGGGGTTCCCTTTCTACCATCCAATGCAGAAGCCAAGTCTACCACATAAGCTATAACTTTTGTTCGTTCTATGTGCCGCAGGAATGCATGTCCAAGTCCGCGATTCTCATGTGCACCCTTGATGAGTCCTGGAACATCCGCAACTGTGAGTGAAAAGTCCTCAAAGTTCAGATTCCCCAAATTGGGTCTAAGAGTTGTGAAGGCATAATGGCCCACTGCAGGCTTAGCCCTCGATATAGCCCCTAATAGAGTGCTTTTACCGGCATTTGGCATTCCCACCAGGCTCACATCAGCAATGCTCTTTAGCTCTAATATAAGAACAGCTTCAGAACCAGGCAAACCAACACGAATGGACGACTCCTCATCATCAAATACTTTCACAGAGGACACATTACCCAAACCACCTTCCCCTCCACGAGCAATAGTTATTCGTTGACCTTGTACAGTCAATTCAGCAACATTCAACTTAAGTTCTTCTTTTTTCTCTGTCTCATCTTCTGTGCAACTCTCAGATGAAGAAGATGAAGATTGAGAATGAATATCAGTTGATCCAACTTGGGTGGTTTTGCCAGCTGATTCCTCAACGGTTCTTTGAGGTTGAGATGATGAGCTGCCAGTATCCTCTTCTGTATTTAGGCTAGTAAGGGCAGAGTGCTGGTCAGATCCAGTTGCATCACCAGTAGGCATACCTGGAATCTCCCATGGATCCAAATCTTCAGAAAAATGGCTTACAACTACAGAAGGAATTTCACCCTTCATAAGATGAATCACAGTGCCAATGGGCACTTGGGCAACCTAACCAAAAAAATAAAAGAGGAAAAAAATTTACAATCAATTCTGCTTTCTGATTTGGATAGGTGGCATACGACAGACTATATGACACAATCATGCAGGTAAGTAGGACTGCTAAACACAGATACCTTATCTGCTCCTCTGGTGCCAATTTTATTCTTTGAGGATCCATGTCCCCCTCTCTGTGCAATCTGGAATGACATAACTAATACTCAATATCAATGGTGGATCATAAAGCTAAACATAGTTCAGAAAGATGGGAAAGATAAGAGGTACATACAAGGTGAGGTTGCAAACCGCTGAAGTCCCAAACTCTTGGGGAACATTCCAAAATCACATCACCACCTCTTCCACCATTCCCACCTACATTAGCTCCCGGGTTAGATGGAAATTTCAGGAATGCCACAGCGAAGAAATGTTCACAATTTCCAAAAAGAAAAATCAGAAAACTGTTGAAGTAGCTTGATTTGAAGTAAATATATAACACGCTGCTCAATCAAAAGTTGATTATAGTCATTGAACTATTATAGAGAACCAACCATCAGGTCTTCCACGGCGATCATGCCGACTACGGCGAGTGCTGGTGCAACCACTGCCACCACCACCCCCTTTAGCATAAAGCCTGAACCTGTCTATCATTCTCCTTTCCTACAAAGAAAGAAAGAAAAATCCCAAATATCCGAAGATACTTTGCTATAGAAAAAGACAATCAAATGAAGAAAACTGGGAAGAATAAGGCCTGATGAGAGAGAGGCAGGAATGTAGCAACCTGTAGAGGGGCAAGCTTCGACTTCTTGTGAGGAGCATCACAGTAGGAAGAACACAAAAAAAGCCATGGAGACTTCGAAGCCTGCCTCAAGGCCTTTATGTGCGAAAGCGATTTTGTAAGGTGCGCCCGCATCTGTTTCCTTTTTCTTACCCCTCAAACTCTTCTTATGCCTTCAATGTAAACCAGCTATCAGCTTGCTATCATGTGATGCTAGAGACACAGAAAACAAAAACGGAATATGATATACCAGTGAGAAAGATGTTTTCTTTCTGAAATTTTTTAGTCCATTGCATAAATTGAGACGGCCTTTCAAATGGACAAATGAACAGCAACACATCTATACAAGAAATTTTGCGCTATTTAATGCATTACTGCCACTAAACTCACCACAATCACCACCAACCTTCAAATTTATCATGGGTTTAATCTAAGAAATTAACCAGAGGTCACCCCTTATGTAAATTACCTTATACACTATATTATCTATGTGAATCACAAATCCCTTTTGCTTAAAACTACCAGCAGCAAGAAACTGTCTACTACCAGAGGAAACAATAAGGCAGGAAACAGTATAGAACGAAGTCCCAGAAATTATCAGTATTGAATAGAGATTAAAAAAAAAAAACTATATGTTGCAATCAAAGTAACAAGGATAGCATCTGAATTAGAACACTGTTTATGATTGAACCCACAACTCCTAAACCCCATGAACACTAGGGGTTAAGAAAAATATTCGAAATACCAAAAGAAACCGAAGCTAGTCAGCGTTGGGGAAAAACAGAACCCACAAAAATGTCCTCATTGAATATTGCAACAATCAAGGAGAATCAGACAGAATACCCACCTTGTTAGGCGTCGCTGTTGGATTAGAGGATGAAGGACGTTGAAGCTTGCAACTTGCGACTTGCGGGAGAGAGAGCGAAGTGAGAGCTTGCAACGAGAACGAGGGAAAGTAAGCGCTGGCAGGCTGGACAAGACCAACAGTGGGTGGGCTGGTGGGCTTATGGGCTGGGAATGATTGATGGGCTCTAAGATTATATTAAGAGACACACTACATGGAAAATTTCAAATTTATATATATATAGCTTCATTAAAAAATATATAAATATTTAAATTTGTTAAGAAATAATATATATATATATATAATTTTAAAATATATTAGAAAAACTTTTGCACATACCATAATAAATTTAGAACAAGCAATGTCCCGTCCCAAGTTTCGGAGAGTGACAAATTTTTACACTAAAAACCTTTTGCATTCACTTAATTTGAATGCACAGATGACATTCAAGTACAATGATATCAAACAAAATCTAAGGTAACTATATATGAGATATTAATAAACTACATACAAAATTTTCTATGTACAAGGCTTAAGCTTGTGATATGGCCTAAACAATATCAAATACAAATAGCTTCATCTAATAGTTCATCAAATATCAAATCCTCAAGTTCAAGTGCCACACACTCAGTGTCCCATTTCAGGTTCATCCAACGATCACCCTTTGCCAAATCTCGAGCCACGACATCATCCAACAACTGGTCCATCTCCGGCCTCAAGCTCAGGTATGAGCTAACTCTTGTCCATACATCATCAAGAAGATGGTGCCCTTTAGGCGTTGGACGGATGCAGCCACTCATGGACAAGGCCCTTGGGAAGTAGGTGTATGATCTCTCATACACCTCAAGGAGTGTCTCATTAACTAATTCAAACAGAAGCTGGTGATCCCGGTTGACATAATCCTCATCTTTGTCGACATCAAGTTCATGCTGAAAGCAAGCCTCCAGGTCCTTGAACAATGCAGGATCTAAAGGCTGGTCCTGTGAGTGCCATGTCCCAAGGTCCTCATGACCTATGAAGCCTGACAGCTCAAGAACATATTTCACATAATTGAATTCAGAATCGGGATCATCCACTTTGTTGAATACAAATCTCGCGGAGTGATTGTCCACACTCTTGTGTTCAATTTCAGTGTTTACAATGTTGCAGGAGGCTGCTAAACAATCTGACTCGTTCACATGAGAGCTCCTAGGATTTATCTCTGAACCTGATACAATTTTGCCAAACCAATTAGATCAAATTATACATAGCACGAAAACGATGCATTAGCACTTGATCATTGATAGAGATACTTTAGTTGTTTAACATAATGAAACATAGAATACTTCGAACTCTGAGGTTGAAAACTCTGCATGGCTAGTTATATAGTCTGAAAGATTAGGTTCAAGAATAGAACTTTCAATTGGTTGTGCTAGCTCACTTTCTGGATTCATTCTTAAACCAATCTCTTGTTTCTGGTGAGTTCTGATTTCTCCCATTGCTGGCTCAACTAAATGCTCATCAAGGTCCTCTGTGTCAACAATATTACCACTGTTTTCACTTCTTTCTACCATGTTATTCTGAAACTCTGTCTCTGTAATAGCATCGAGTTGTTCAGACTTATCTGTATCTACAGGAAAGCTCACTGACTTGGGATCAACATGACCATAATTTTCCTTATTCGTATTGTGGTCCACAGCATTTTTAACTGGCATCCCTAAACGAAAAGCATCTTTCGGTGCCCCATTTAAGGTGGAACAAAAATAGTCAAGATCAGGCAATGAGAGATTCCTTCTAGTGAATTTCTGAGCATTGCCAGTTGAAGGAACTTTTTCTTCACTTTTCAACTTTAAGCTCCTAGAGCGATCCCACTTGCTTTGATCACTGCTGTAACTAGACTCAAACAACTGAGTATATCTATTCAGTGACTCATCTAAAGAGGACGTTCTTCTTACACGGCGAATTCTTGGCTTCCCAAGATTATCATCAAAACCATCCACCTTGTTTCTCTGTTGTCCCATGGCTATATACGGAGTTTCAGACAATTCTTTCTCATCACATCCAGAAGGGTCTTTCCGGAAGAGTGCCTTAATGGAAGGGTCAGCATTTTCCTTCTTGCCCTCCTGAATTGCATGCATTAGCTTCTGCGTTATATCTTTGAAACGATTTATGACCAACTGATTCCACCCTTGGTGACTAAATCCCTCAGGCAAACCCAGAGAAGAAAAGCTTGTTTCTTGTTTCATGACACTGCTCCCTACACTGATATCATCAGCCACGTAAGGCATGGACTTCATAGAATAATCCTCTTGACATTCGGATGTCACTAACTTTGGTGTCTGAGTACCAGCAAGCAGTATTTCTCCTTTGGGGAAGGACCAAACTTCATTCTGCTTGTGTTTGAGTGTGCTCTTAGGCCTAATATGTCTAGCTTGAGATGAATCAGCTACAGGAAATGACCTTGATTTTGTTAGTCTGACTTTGTTCTTGGAATTTTGCAGCACAGGAAACTGGTTTGTATTAACATCTGGATCTTGTAGGATTTTTAAGAAAAAATCCTTGTTTGCCTTAAATATCTCCAGAATATCAGCATGGTCATTAAACTGGTCACTGGAAATGTCGTTGTGTGGCTGGTTAGTCTTTGTTGGCTTCTGGTTCGGTGCCAATTCCATGACTTTTTCACATTCTTCTGTAGAAAGTGCCTGTTTCTTGCTGGGACAAGTGCTGCCGCTCTTTCCTGTTTTATCCAAACAATTTTCTGAAGGCTGTACATCATGCACTTCGCTCGTACGCCACAACCATGATTGCACATGGAAGCTTAAAATCCAGCTTTTGTTGCTTTCTTCACGAGGTTTCTCTTTAGCACTTGATGCTTTTATGCGAGATTTACCAGACCTTTTCTTTGCTGAGCTAGTTTCTGTACTGGGATGTTTGACCTAATATAAAACATTAAAGTACTGTCAGCTTATGTTTCATAACAAGTCAGAGAAGCACTTCTGTGTTCTGTCTTGAGGTTATTGATTGATAACCACAAATACATAATGTCAAATCACAACTTGCATTTTTGAATTCTGTATTTAATCAAAAGAATGACATGAACTTACCAGCAAAGGTTCAGCATCAGCAGCTGCAAATTCTTCCCCTTGACCAATGTCACTACTGTTCAAAGTTGCTTTCCTACTTCCATAGTTGCCTGCAAGCAAGATGTATTGTGCTGAGCTCATATAAATCAAATACTGATATGTGAATGTAAACAACCATCTGTGCATTAAGAGAATGATTTGCTAAGTGAAAAGTCTTTGCACCTACTGTATACCATTTGCTACTCTTAATTCAAAATGATGGTTGTAACGATGCCTCTTTTTCGTTCCTTACGAAAAAGTTGAATTATGAAATGGTTAATAATTCATATCTAGATAGACATATAGGTAGAAGCAGTTCTTCTGTTGGAAAAATATATATTGGTTTCAATACTTCCTTCTGTTTTGGCATATAGGCTTAAATAGTTACTTCCTACATGGGGCATCTGATAAGCCGCTTTAGAAGCAAAATAATCTACATAAGTAAGACAACAAAAATGTAGCAATAGCATTGTAGAATTCGCATGGCTTCATCCCAAATCAAACATGCACAGGACCACAAATCAAGCGCTTCACACTTTCTTAAACTTAGAAGCTTTGCATGACATGTCATTACAGAAGATTTTTCACCATGAGTTTTCTGTATCAAGTTATCAAAAACAGGTTCACACATGAACAGAGGAAAGGATGTGCTGTAGTGAATTGAGTTGGCTTACATCTGACTCGTCTCCCTCCGGCACGCTTTCTGTGTGGAAGCATATTTTTGACATTGTTCCAACGATGGTAATCAAGCATATGCATTAGGCTCCACATGCAGCCTGGACGGTTGCTCTCAACACCAGAGTCCTGGCGCTGCAATTGCTTTCCCATTGTTGGCACAGGAGAAAGTCTACAGACCAAAGAAATTTGAGAGCCACTTGAGTCTTAATCTCTCAACTTCTAAGACCAGTCTCTTGAAAATCCTGGAAAAAAACATAGAAGACAGAAGTTGGAACCTCCATGTACTTCAACCTCCAAAGTTGAGTATTTTAACAAGTACTTCAACCTCCAAGCATATAAATTCAGATTAAATTTCCCCAAAAGCCTATCAGAAAAACATATCAAACAGATTCTAAACAAGATGGAACACAGGCTTTTAAACAGTGATTATGATATTTTTCAGAGCCTCTAATTCAAAATTCAAAGGCGGGAGCAAATACCCAATTCCATTTTCATAAAACCAACTCAAAAAGCTTGCAAATTTACCAAAGTTCATAACATCTATACTCGTTTGAGGTCCAAAAGCTCGAACCCAAAACATAAAAAAAGAGAAACAGGGATGAAAGAACTTCCGTTATAAACTTAAGAATCAAGCAGAGACAAAAACAAAGAGAATATTTAAGTGACAAAAGCAAAGGGAATATTTAATGGCTGCTGCACAAACAACGCTAGCAATTAATATATGAATTAAGCAACTAAAAAGTAACAGAAAAACAAACAGAGCTCTGAACCTTGAGAAGCTTGGGAAGCATGCAACAACAGTTTGCAAAACTATGGCCGGCTTTGAATAATGTAAGGGACAGGTGAGAGCTCAAAAACTTCAGAGCTTAGGATGACTTATTGGTAAGTGGCGTATACGATATGAGAAACGAAAAGTAAAGAAGAAGAAGTAGTTGGTCTTCCAGTTAGAGAGAGAGGACCCGGGAAAGAGAAACAGGGGCCTCTTACCCGCCAAGCATATTACGATATGAGAAACGAAAAGTAAAGAAGAAGAAGTAGTTGGTCTTCCAGTTAGAGAGAGAGGACCCGGGAAAGAGAAACAGGGGCCTCTTACCCGCCAAGAATATTACAATGAAATGGTCCAAGCTCTCTCTTTCAAGCCTTGGTCCAAGCTAGCTATCTAGATTAGATCAACTTTAAAGTATGAGGATTTAAAAGGGTTTAGCTAAAGTTGATTAGATAGTTTTGGTGGTTAGATTAGATTATTTGATTTAGTTTTATGGTTGATGTTAGTTGAAATGTTGTTCAATTCAATAAAAGGATAACAATATAGTCAACTGATATTCAATCACTTATTTGCATTGTTCCAAGTGCCCTTGTTGTCTCCAATATACTACAACAAGAAGCTGAAAACTCTTTCCTAACACTATTATGGCATTGTTCATGTATTTGGATTCTTTGGTCTTACTTACTAGTACTTTTGATCTCATTTCCAGAAGCATCACATGCATCAATCATGCTGATCTTGATGTTGGGTGACCAAAAATAATTTGATCTTAATGTTGGGGGCCCCGCCTCGTTTTGGCCTCTCGTGTGTATGTACTATTGTTTCCAACTTAGGGTCCGTTTGAGAATGTTTCTGTCGGAAATACTTTTATTCGTGAGCTCTTCTAGCAAAAACTCTTTTATTTAAAGCCTAACAAATTCTTCATTAAAAATCCAAATGTGGCATGAAAAGGCACTTAGAAGTGCTTCATGAAGCACCTAATAGGTTTAAATTTGTCTATCAAACGTTATCATAAGTGTTTTTGGTTATTTGAAAGCGTTTTTAGTTATTTCAAAAGCAGTTTTGAACATGCCCTCAAATACCTAAGTATGGCAGAGGGGTGAAGATAAGACCAATGGGCCCATCAAGTGTGGAGTTTTATCTCAAAAGGATTTACTACAGCTTAAGGAAATATCCGACTTATAGTTTAAGTGGTGTAGAATGATCTACACTTTCTGTAAGGTAGTTCTACTTTCATAATGGCTATGCATTGCTAGTGTTTGCAAAGCAAAGACATAAAGTTATTGAGAATCATATCAAGGGGTAAACAAATCTTTTTTTTATATATAAAACATCTTCAATACTGTCCTAAAAAAGAAGAAAGGGAGGAGAAATAGATTAGGGTTGAAACTTGAAAGCCTTGACGAGTAAAGTTTTTCACTTGGCCTCAATATGAATAATTAAAGTTCTTTGCAAATGCATGCCACTTGCAATATTTTGACTTGTTCAAACCCATTGTGAAGGTCCACATACTCCAAATTGTGCTTGAATATTTCAATGTTCTGTACAAAATGTTAGGCCGGAAAGGGACTTGGAGCAGCTAGTCAAAGCTCAAAAGGATCTTGCATTGCAGATACCTTGGGATAATCATAACAAGTTTATATTTGGGTTTTCACAAGATTTAAAAGTTGTATAATGTTGTTTTACTATTCTTGCATGAAATAGTAAGTCAGAAACTTAAAAAATTGCAGCGCAGATATAACGTGTATGATCTGCACTTGTTGTTGGTTTTCTAGAAATTGTGAAAGTTGACTTGGAAACACAAGAAGAACTAGAATTCAATTCAATGCGTGAGATATTTGTTGGATTGGAACTGAATTAGGTCAACAGAAATGCGCCTCCTGACTAACTTTGTCCTTGACTTGATGTATGAAGAAATGTTTGAATTCAATTCAATAACGTATGAATCCTAGAAATTTTGGCAATCTAAATAGTCTAAGCTTTTAAATTTGGAAGTAATTTTCGGTGTGACAGTTCCATTATTATTATGTGGTGTTATTAATTTATTGATGTTGTAACACGTATATTTTATTTATTTATTAAGATTATATTTTAAGTTCACTACATATAAAATTTGTGAATTAGCATCACCAAGAAAGATTTCTCCAAATTTGGAATTTTAGACTATTTGTGATACCAAACAAGCTCATCACTTGGTTGGAGGTTTCCTTCTTTTGCTGGATTGTAGCGATTCAGATGAAAGTGCTTCTGTAGTTCGTCTCAGATATTGCTTTCTAAGCATTCCCTTGTGTTTGCCTTTCGCTTGGAATCTAATACATGGTTGACCCGAAAGAAAAAACCAAGCTCATCACTTTGAAAGTGTCAACGACAAACAAAGACTACCTAGTCAGAGTCTGTGTCCCAAAAAAGCCCAAAAACCTACAAAAGCCTATGTAAGGTTTGGCCCAATTCTCCTAGTGGTTAAGAGGCTTATTAGAATTTACAGGCCTGCCCCAATTTTATTTTATAATTTGATTCATTTTTCAAAATCCTTTCTTTTTATTTTTTGCCTTTAGTTTTTTCTTTGGGCAGAGTTTCCATTGGATTATTTATTGGAGTCCTTATTTATTTCTATAGAGGAAGGATTGTGCCCTCTCTCTCTCTCTTGTCTCACAAGCAACTTGAAAATAAGGATTGTGCCAAATTTACTTCACGCATATAGCTTATGGATATCAAATTTTTATCTTAAAATCATGTACACGAAGGGTTACGCCAATTTTCTTTGTAACAAAAAAAAAAAACAAATACAATGCGAGCGATGCATGCAGAAGCTCCCCAATAAATCGATGCCTCAACCCCCACCATCATATTTAATCCTCCCCAAAGGAGCAACTTCTACAGATTTTGCTGCGCCAAATCTTAAAAATCAGGCTGTGGTGGGAAAAATTGGCATCATTTGGCAACGTTATTAGCAGCTGTAAGATTCATATGCAATTTTTTATTTTATTTTTATTTTCTGTTTTAGACAAACAGATATTTGATATGCAAGTTGTTCTGCTATTCCTGTGAAAGCAATATTTTATGCATAAAGCAACAAAAATAAGCAGAAGCAGAGCTAAGCACAGCCTCTTTTTTTACACTTATTTTGTTTTAATTTGTTCCTGGGTCAGTTCCCCACTTCTCCCGTTTGCTCTAAGCACATATGATTGGAATTTCAAAAAGCACATTGTCCCTCGCTGTACCAACATGATTCTTTTGAAATAAAATTAATATAAAGTTTATTGTTATCTTGATCCATCCATATATGCCCACCTAATACTAATAAATTCGAAATTTATAATTAAACTAGAGGAAAAATGAAAATTTTATATGAACTAAATTCGATAGCACGACGTAAGAGCAAAGACGGACTTAGGCCTAGGCTGGAGTGGGCTCTATCCTAGGGGAAGATTTCTAAAACATTAAATATAGTTTAATTTTATAAGCTTATTCCGACTTTAATAAATATTTAGCCCACTACACCAAATAAATATAGCTCACACATGCATTATTTTTCTTTTTTATCGCTAATATAATAAACTAATAATAGCCTAATCTAAGTAAAGTAAATAATAGCTCAGTCTTCTATTTAAAATAAGCTCACTCCTCCTAAAACATATAGGAAATAATAAACATCAATCCAAACCTATATAAATTTGATTAGAAGTAGAACTCACGCTAAGGGTCTACCAACTTGAGCAAACATCAAAAAATTTCTTCTAGCCACCCAAAACGCCATATTTAAACCTTAAGAGCCTAGAGGAAATAGCTCTCCTCCTCTTAAAAATTGGACCAACCTATATTCAGTGGGTTCTTCATTCTTGGTAAGTTTTTCTCTTTATATATATTCAATTTCCAATTTTAATTGTTGTTGTTAAGTTTTTATGATATAGGGTTTGGGTGAAAACTTTTGGAGATTGTTGATATATGTTTTATTTTGGCAACTTGAATTATTAATAAGCATATATGATTTTTGGTGTCTAGTATTTCTTGTTAGGATATCATGTCACATGATGATAATAGACCGGCAAAAAGAGGAAAAACTATTTATTCATTCTTCAAAAAAAGTATTTATATTTTATACTTCTTTGTGTGTATATTTGCTTGTAATGTGACTTTGTTTGATTTATAAAATTTTATTTACATATTTGTTTCAAGAGAAAAAAAGGCTATAATATATCTCCTCTAAAAAAAATATATTATTTAGCCTACCCCTATAAAAATCGGCTATGCAACTATATGAAGCTGCAAATGTCCTTAGGTTGCATCGAGATCTTCTCATAAGTATGTGAATGTAAGGTTAAGAACGTTCATTTCATCCATACACCAAAGATCTTGTGTCGGAAATTGTATGAATTAAATACAATTGTCCAAAACTACATAAGGTAAATGACTTTCGAACTATATCAAGTGGAATATCTCCTCACGTTGCATCGAGATAATCTCAAACAAAGTCTAACACTTCCACTTCAGATCGAGCCACAAAACGAGATAAAGAGTCTAAATTTGGACTACTTTCACAAATTTCTCAGTCCTCACATAGCAATTAGTTTAAAAACAATATCCGTGCAGACAAGGGAGGAATTCTGAAAATATGAAACCCCAAATAGTATGCAACATCACTTTAAAAAGCTTTCCTTTTCCCATGATTATGCTTACAGTTCCAAATGCCAGCATGAAGAGTACCAATAATTGCATGTGTGCAACTTTTTATTCCTTCTCCCTTTCTTTTTTACAGACAGACATGGATTCACGAATTTGATCTCTGTAGCAAAATGCTTTTGTGGAGGGTTCATTGCAAAATGCTGAACACCCATCTCAATCAAATGGTTCCATGCCTATATATCTTTTTCAATTTATCCGCTCATAACTTCTAACTTGATAATAAAATATGTTTGTCCGTACAAAATTAGTTCCGTAAGTCTAAGGTGATTCTTTATCCGTTGATCCATATGAGGCTTATAATACATTAACGGTCAAATTGTGCCTAAAATTGTCTGAATTATGCGACTAACAATCACAATGCATTAACAGTCAAATATTATCGCTGATAGCAACAACCAACCATCGCAATGCATGAGCGGTCAAATTTTACCGGCAATAACAAAATTACCAACCATCACAATACATCAACAGTAAAAATTTACCGCGACTACAAAATTCAATAAATTACCCGATTATGAACTTCAGAGCTTCAGTTTTTTTTTAAGTCCATGTGTGTGCACTCGAAGCTGACCTCAACTTAAACTCACCGCCCAAATACAGTAAACACTTTACTATCCATTGACAGCTAGCACAATTCCACAGCGAGTACCTCCACAAAAGCATCTTCTGCGAGTGGCTAAAAATACTATAACAAGTTTTGTTTTCCTGCTTTTTCCCCCTTTTATACGCAAAAACAATGAGCATTATTCCCCTCCCGCTCCTCCCTGGCCCATCACCAACACACCATACATCATCACCGTCCATTTTCATCATCATTCTCTCCTACTCACTCACACTCACACACTCTCTCTCTCTCTCAACTTAAAACCACCAGACACCAGAAACTCAGACACTCTCTCTGCAGTAGAGAGAGAGAGCCATCCCCCCCCTCCCCTCCACCCCCACCCTACCCAATCCAAAAGACAATGGCCATAACTTTTCTCATTTCCCATTTTACCCCTACAGCCCTACTCTATTTCCTCCTCCTTTCCTCCTCCATCCATGCCCTCAACATCACCACCCTCCTCTCCCCTTACCCTGACTTCTCTGACTTCACCGACCTCATCTCCTCCTCCATCTCCGGCGACCTCCTCCCCCGCTCCTCCCTCACCCTCCTCGCCGTCCCCAACCCCTTCCTCTCCACTACCACCGCCCTCACTCGCCGCCTATCCCCCTCCTCACGCGCCGACGTCCTCCGCTACCACGTCCTCCTCGAGTACCTCTCTCCCGCCGCCCTCCTCCTCATCCCCCCCTCCGGCAAGCTCATCACTACCCTCTACCAGACCACAGGCCGCGCCACCAACAACTTCGGCTCCGTCAACCTCACGCGCGACCCCTCCACCGGGGTCGTTTCGATCCGCTCCCCGGCCCCCTTCTCCCCCTCAAACGCCACCGTTTTGTCCCTCGTCACCAACCTCCCCTACAACGTCTCCATCTTCTCCGTCAACTCCCTCCTGGTCCCTTACGGCTTCGACCTCATGGCCTCCGAGACCCGCCCCCCTCTTGGCCTCAACATCACCAAGGCCCTCATCGACGGCCACAATTTCAACGTCGCCGCCTCCATGCTCGCCGCGTCCGGCGTCGTCGAGGAGTTCGAGGCAGACGAGGGCGGCGCCGGCATCACCCTCTTCGTCCCCACGGACACTGCGTTTTCGAATCTCCCATCGAATGTGAGGCTCCAATCACTCGCAGCTGAAAAAAAGGCAGTCGTCCTCAAATTCCATGTCCTCCATTCATACTACCCACTGGGCTCGCTCGAGTCGATCGTGAACCCGGTTCAGCCCACATTGGCTACAGAGGACATGGGAGCCGGCTCGTACACTCTCAACATCAGCAGAATCAATGGGTCAATGGCGATCAACACTGGGATTGTGCAGGCCTCGGTCACCCAGACGGTGTTCGATCAAAAGCCCGTGTCAATTTTTGGGGTTTCTGAAGTTTTGCTGCCCAGAGAGATCTTCGGGAAGAACCCAATTTTAACGCCCAAGCCCGGTACGCCATTTCCCGGTAGCGGCGGAGCTCCGCCTCCGGACATTTCTCCCTCTCCGGAGAGTCTAACTGGGCCTCCATCGCACCTCTCTTCGCCGCCGGGATTTCGCGAAGAAATCAGATCCGAAGCTGCGGCGGCCGTTGGTGGGTTGTGGAGCTTCGGGATGGCATCGTGTTGTATAGGACTGTATTTAATGGTATGAGATTTTTGTTATTTTTGCTTCTTAATTGCTAGAATTTTTGGTGGGTTTTTTTTTACTTTTCATACATTGAATTGAATTAGGCTGCAAAAGCAAAGCCATTTTTGTTTTTGTTAATTTTTTTTACCTCTTGTTGTTCAAATTTATGATGTTAAATTGTGTTTATGCCTCCGAATAATTAATGTATATCAGAAAGAACCAATTTTTGTTTCTTGGATCTGCGGTTTTCGTCCTGTAAAGAAATTCAAAGTCTGATCTGCTTCTGCATAATTGCATTCATCTTTCTACTTTTCTGCTCTAAAACTGACACCAGAGAAAATTGGGTAGCTCTACTCTTTTGCCTTTAACTCATAAACCCATCAAAACGAGAAACACTGGAATACCACTATTTTTCATTAAAAAATTTCTGCATCAAAACCCATATGGGCAAATTTTAATTTTAATTTTCAATAACCCAAACTTCTGAAAAGATGTTTAGATTTATCAGAATAGGAAAAGGAGGAAGGAGGAAGGCAAGGATCAATTAATTTGGGATAAATACTTGTTCAGTTACTGTATTTAATTCTTGTTGCCTTCTGTCATATTCATAAAGTTATAAAGCTCTCATTCATGTTACTTGTTTCCCACAATATCCCCTGTGAACCTTTTAGAACCACAAATTTCCCAGCACTTATATTTGTTTGTCCGAAATAATACGGTCTTTTTTGGGTTTTCCAACAACTAAATTTCCGCATACATGAAATTATTCAAGTTAACTAAAATGGATGTGCTCTTCGTCTTCCCCATTGTCGAATCGCTCTTCCCACTCTACAACTAAATTTCCACTTTTTATTATTTATTTACATTTTGAAGGCAGAGAATATAGTTTGTATTATTTATTTATATTTTGCTGGCAGGGCAGCTAGCTAACTTTGCTTAATGGCTGCTTGAGAGTCGGGACCAAAATAGAATGTGAAAAGGAGAAAAAAGAGTTATTTACCAAAAAGAAATGTGAGAAAAGAGAAAATTGAAAAATTGTTGGTAGGGTACTGTAATTAGTGAAGAGGAAAGTGCATGACAGAGGGCATGGGGTGGGTCCGCAAATGGACGGTGGTGATGCGACACAAGTTGAAGATATGCTGCTCTACACGCATTTCTATGGCATCGGATGTTGATGGGACTGCCAGATCTAGTGAGGGTTATTTGAGCAGAGGGGGAGGAGATCTACAGTGTGAGTACTCAGATGCCTTTTCGGGGCGCTCCATCTCTATTTGTGGACAAAAAACTTTCTTATAACGAAGATAATATTGTTTTGTTATTCGCAATCAATTACACTGATACATGAAAAAGTTATTCTACGTGTCATTGTGTTATTGGCTGAAAATAGCGCTTTGCTATCCCGTTACATGAGACTTTCTCTCTTATTTGTGGGTCAGTGCAAACTGACGCTGTTAGCTTCTAGATTAGACACACAGATGAGCGGGGGTCCCTTTGAAGAGCTTTCAATTGAAACCCTTAATTGGTAACAAAACTAAGTTTACTAATATCTAGTTTCCCTAAATAGGGATCAACTACTCGCCTTAATTTAATTATTGATTCGTATAATTTGGCGTGCTAGTAAGTAAATACAGATAAAGTCAGGAATTGAAATCTGAACGAAACTAGTGATGCAGAGAAAGTCAGGAATTGGATTTTAGTGTTGAACTCAAATATTCCAAACTCATGCATTTGAGGCAATGAGTTATGCAGTTTAATTTGGAAGACAGTCCATCAATCTTCAAAATGAATGGTATTGGGCTTGAGCCCATTCCCCATTTGTAAACACATGGTTAGTTGTTAAGGCTTAGGGTTGGGTTCACGGAGGTAATGGAATCATGAACCCATAAGAATGAGTTTTGTTTGGTTGTGAAAAACATAAGGCTTCACTCAAACCCTATCTAAGAGAAAGCGATTAAGAACATGCTAAAAATGTTTGATTGGTAGAAGTGTGGCGTAGCATCTATACGAACACAATTTTATTGTAATTTTTCACAAAGAAATCTTGGAAAGGGATCACTAAGAAAGCTTGGGTGGGGTCTATTACTCATCTATTAGAGTTTGAGGCGTTAGTTTGAAGTTGACCTACAAATGATGTTTGATTATGTACACATTCTGAAGACTTAGCACAGTAGCCTTGATCTCATATTGCATGTTTCTAATGTGGACTTTGGTTAAAACCGTGTTGAATTAGGTCAGGTTTGACTTGAAAATTGAATGAGAAAAGCTAAAAAAGAAAGTTTGAGCTACAAATTGAGGTAGCTAACCATGTTGGGCTGACAAAAACACACTCCATTCAGCCCATCACAATGTCATCCGCACTATGATCTTTCAAGTCAAAACTACTGCTGCGCCTTCTTGATTATGTTAGATAACTCTTGAGTCTTGTAAATTTGTTATTTATTTTTTAATTGGAAAAATAGTTGATCCCTTGATTGTTCAGATAGATTATATAATTTAAAATGATCTAAAACAAAAAAAAACTATGATCATTCTTCTTTCCATGTGGGAACTGGTTTTGCTGGTGGTTTCGTGAAAAAAAATGTTGATCAATACAATTGATGCAAAGTCCAGCCCGTGATTACTGCCAATGATTAAAACATCCATTCAAATTTATTTATTTTTGCTTATTCTGAAGTCAAAAGTCAATAGTCCTATAATTTGATTAACAATTAGGAAATTATGAATGCAGTGCAAAACTATCTTCCTCTTCATGCCTCGTATGTGAAGGCGTGAAGTTAATTTTGAAGTGCACATAATAAGTCCTTTCGTCATTATCAAATGGTGTGAAAAGAAGAATCATAGATTTCTTATATGAAAATTCCACGATTATTTGGGCAAATAGATTAGTTTAGACGATTGAAAGATATGATTTTTAATTCGAGCTTTCATATATAAAATAATAATAATAAAAGAAACAAAATTGTTGATGTCCCCAAGTTTCGAGAGAGAGGGAGAGGAAAACAAAGGAAACAATGGGTTTGGATATCTCAGCCAAACCCTCTTGTCAAAGTTGCCAAATTTAAGGGCAAGATGTGGATGGCATAGAATGGAGACAACAATGTAATTGTACAATTCTGGTGGTTGCTTGCTAGTGGGGAATGGTGCTGCTACTTAACCCTAATGACAATGACAATGACCATGATGCCTATAAATTCCCTTTGGGTCAAACTATCTAGATTGTGTTTGCTCTATGGCTGGCATTTATGTTCATTAAAAATATCTTTTGGAAGACTCAGAAATTTCAATCTGTCCAGCACAATATAATCCCATCCCTCTTTTCCTTGCCAATCAAGTTTTCTTGACTTTGCCACAAAAAAAAAACAGAAAAAGAAAAGAAAAGAATCAACATTCCCTTTGCAGGTTGAGTTTATAATCTCAGGAAGAATTTGTAAGGTTCAAGTTTTTGTCTATGTGCATTTGGAAAATGGAGAACTTTTAAACAAAAGTCAGAAATTACAAGAGTTGTTTTAATCCTCTGTCATTAATTTAATTATCATTTGATTGACTGGTGTGCTGCCTTTTACTTTTACTAGTTTGCGCTCCACATGATAGAAACTTTCAAACAACATTCATGAATCATAATTGTTCTTTTCACCCTTTTTTTTAAAAGCCTCCCTTTTCATTTCTGAAATTAGGTAACCTTTGTGTTGTGTGTCTCAGTTGAAAGGCTCCATGATCAAGCCATATAAACTGTATTTTATTGGCTTCAAACAAAGCCAAATAGTTTGTAATTTATTTTAATAATAGGGTAAAGGAAAAAAACACAACAGATTAATTGCCAAAGGTGACATGCGCATTATTATTGGAGAAATTATATAATACTACAGTAGTATGATCATGTGGTATATTTTATACACGTGTTATGATATGAGTGGATAACATGATTTATTTTTCCCCTTTTAGTAAATAGTATCAATAAATATTTATTTATATTATAACACGTGTACAAAATGCACCACATAACCATACTACCGTAACATTCTATAATCACTCACATTAATCGCCTCTCTTTAATTACTTAAACAAAGGTTTAGCTGATGTGGATAGCATTAGGAGTTCATTAGTCAACAAACAGATAGTGGCAGCAAACTTACAAAAAGGTTCCAAAGGTAAAGAAGTAAAAGCCCATCAAATTGAACAAAACCAAATCATATAAAAAAGGTGAAAAACCATTAGATGTATCTTCTTTTACCATATATTATATGGCAAATATAATAACCCGTAAAATGATTTAAAGGACCCAAAGCATGATAATTTTTTTATCTTCAAGTTGATGAGTCAATGCATCACCATGATTATCTTTCTTTTCTTAATTTCTTCTAGAGTTGTTTTAAAAAGGCACACTAATTGTGCTCCCTAAAAAAGAAAAGAATTTGGATATGCATGCAAGTCATCATTCAAATATATATGAAGCTGTTCAACTTTAGGTAGCTTCATTACATGAAATTTTATTAGATTTATGTAGCATTTGAAGATTGAGTCTAAGATTGTAAAATCTTTTACAATATATAAACGGATTTTTTATTATCTGATCTCTAGACCCTGTTGGCATATATGAATAGAGTTTTAATTAACAAAATAGTAAGTAAACTAATAGTTTGTTAATTGAATGAAAATTCACTTATTCACACAATAACAAGTCTACTAAAACTAACATTTCCCAACATATGAATGGAGTTTAAATTAACAAAATAGTAAGTAACCCATATTTTAAATCATTGGATAAAATAAGTTATTTTCTTAGAACCTTGAGCTTTTCAGAGTATATAACTACACAAGTAGGTAAAACAAAAACTCCCAAAAAATTGCAACATGCAAATAATTAAGTGTGTGGTATAGTTTAATAAGCAAAATGCACACATAAATTAAGGCCCATTTGATTAAATGTTAGGTAGGATTAGTTTATGATTATAAATTTAATTTAATTTTTTAAAATTTTAAAAAAACTAAAAAAAAACTGAGGTGGTGATAAAAGAGACAAAAGTTGGGAAAGAGTGGGTGGGTCTAAGGAGTGAAGCAAATGGGTGTGCATAAGCATAGGTGGTGGTGGTGGTGGCTTAGGAAGGTTTCTCCACTTGCAAAATTGGAATGATGGTTGGTTTGAAATCTTGAATGGGATTAGATGTAAGAAAGTGGCAAATTCAGATTTCTATTTGTTTAATGAATAACGATAACAACCTAGGCTGACATCTTAATTATAGTATTTGTTTATGTTCGATAATGGCATATTCTCAATCCACCTTTTATTTTTCAAGTGTCGAATAATGCAATTCATGTAACCTAGAAAACCTGTTACCTTTGTCTTATGATTTTGCCACGTGGCAATATGTTTTGTTACCATATTTCCATATGATGTTGAAAAGAGCTTGGAACAAGCCCTAGGCTTTTTCTTTGGATAAGTATTTTGGGGTAATAATATAGGGGGAAATGATGGCCAAAGGAGCTTATCACAATTTTTTTTCCTTCTTCTCACTTTCCCCCAATTAGGGTTTTTGTCTTTGCCAATATTTCCATGATTAGTTTGAAAAATCGAGAGTTAATGTGACTTTGGTGATATGACTAGCATGATAGAAATAAATGTTTTAATTAAGATGTTACTGTTTTTAAATAGGGACAAAAATGTTTCTCCACCATGGTTTATGATATTCATTCTCAGGTTTTCGGCTAGCTCAGGTCACTAGGAAAGTTTTACCCATGTCTGTCATTTTATTCATATTGATCTAATAAAATTCTATCGCCTTTTTACAAACAAATAAAAAGATAGATCAACCCCCACCGCCACCCCCAAAATGAAGAAATAAAAGAAAAAGTTTGGAAACATCTTTGAGCTTAGGAGATTTAAGTCATGATAAGGTTTAGTTTTGTTAGAAAATACAATGTCATATTTTCTAATTTTCACATTAAGCCCAATGATTAATTTCTTTTACTCTACGTTTAGATGGAGAAAATAAACTTAGAATTTAGACAAAAATATGATTTTTTAAATTGACATATACCAAATCTCTTTTTTGAATTCATAAACGAATATATTTTCAATTTTCAATTTTCATATAGTTGAAATTTGGATGTTATAAATTCTTACTTTTCACTTTAAAAACTTGGTATTTGCAGTTGCTGATAGGAGCAGATTGGTCATAAAAAAATATAATTAATGTTTCCATTGGTTTCCCATGGAAGGGAAAATGAAACTCCAATATGGATGGATGATTTCATTTCCCCGCATTTTTCCATGAGACAGGAAATGTAACAAACATTAGAAAGTAAATAATTTTCCAATCCCAAGCTCATTTTTCTTTCGAAGCAAATGCATTCCAAAATCCATTGTTCTTTACCTGCAATGCCCTCATTATTCAAAGCA